AATTCCTAAGAATCGTAGTTCATACTAATTGGCTCTGAAGCAATATTTCCTAAGAATACTAAAAGCCTTAACTGATGGCAATGAACATATTCGTTTTACTCACTGCATAGTCTATCAAGAAGTACTCACAGCCAATACAAAGATCACCATATTTAAATGCTGTGCTTTATAATGTTATCAGAATCATTAATTTCATAAAAAGCAGAGCTCTGAACAGTCTTCTGTTTTCAAACCTGTGCAAAGATATGGTTGCCAATTAGCAAACCTTACTACTACTTGCAAAAGCAATATGATTCACATTATTACCGTTTCAAGAAAAAGTTCTTATAGTTTCAACTGACCACCAATCCGATTTTGTTGATTATTTCACACTGAATTATGGTTTTTACAACTGTATTATTTGTCAGATACGTTTTAAAATTTTGATGATTTAAATATGTCGTTTGAAAAACAATATTTGTAACATGTTTGCTTTAAAATGTAAAATCGGAAGCTTTGTTTAAAATTTAAAAATATGAAAAAGGAGGAGGGCAAAATAGCATTTTAGAAATGTCTAAAGCTGCAGATGTTTTTATAATTGAAAATAAACTTTCCATAGATTTAATTCTAAAAATTATATGCAATCATTTTGCAGCGTCTGAAGACATAATTGCAAAACAACTTTCTTTCAAATTTTGATATCGGAAAGAAAATTGGGTTCATAAATTATACTAAACTGAAATGATTCAATCGGTAATTTAATATTATTAAATTCTCAAGAACAATTTGCAAAGCTATTCAGCGACACAGGCCTAAAACGTTTTCCTAAAAAGCGTTAAACGAATTTTGGCTGCAGATTCACTTCTAACATTTTCGTATTTATGCGAAGCGGCACTTTCAGCATCGTCGTTTATAAAACAAAAAGTTGAAAGATGAATATATGATATTACGTATGTCCTGGAGTATCAAATATTCATCCAAGATTTAGGCTCCGTATGGAAGAAATAAAACCAAATCTGGCTTATGAATATTTAGCTTTGCCTGTAACACATTGGTCAAATTATATTCGTATGAATATACCAAAGAATTGTTTTCAGATAAATGTTCTTCGTAATTTATTATCAAAAATTGTTTTAATTCATATGTCCAATTTATCTGTTAAGTATACCCAGGATAGCGAAAATATTTTTTCGGGTAAAAGGAGACGCTTAGAAGAAAAGTTTGAAAATTTCTGATCCAGAGTGAAATTTACAAACAAGCAAACTGAATGAATCGTAACTACGGAATGGTCTGAGAGCGGATCAGCCATTAAACAGCACGTTCTTCTCCTCTTTTCCGCCCCCTGATCAGCAGGTCTAATTCAAGACTTTTTTCATCTGTTGAGGTTAAAGACATCAATAACCATGTTCATAATCTGGAAGATTTACGAGCTGAAATCTGAGTTACAGTTAACAGTGTCACATCATAAATGCTTTTAAACACGTGAGTTATGATAAAGCATTGGTCTGAAATTTATTAAGCCACAAGTTATGCTGATTTCGAAGTATATTAAGTATATAAAAGAATTTTCTGAGCTTTTACATCTGAAAAAATACATATGGCTAACAAATTTTGGTACATTAAGAATTTGTGAGAACTACATTAATTAAATATTTAAGCAGAATAACGTGCATAATCAAAAGGATACCAAAAGATTATTCATTCTTTTCAATAAATACATCAATAACCAACATGCAAACAGTATATTTGCTTTTTCATCAATAATGTGTTTGTACTCGGAAGTAATGAAATTTGAATCATTTTAAGGCATATCTCTTTTATTCGGAAATTAATAATTCGTAGAGAACTTAATATTACTGTTCAAAGGGAAACAAGTTGGAAGGAAGGGAAGTATCTCATTATCATCTTGTATATTGTTTCATTTTTCAAATGGCCTTGATGTAATATTCTGCTTCCTGTTTGAACATTTTGGTTTCAAAATAGCTCTCATTATGAACTTTGACTGACATTAATAAAGCTTAGAGCTGTTTTAAAAAATATGCTTGTCAACTTACTAACTTCCTTCAATATACCATCCTATACTCTATATTCTTAGGATTTAGTTCCTAAAATAACAAGCACAGAAGCCCTAATAGAAAACAGTAGAATGTGTAATGCTCATTAGAAAAATAATGATGAAATAAAATACTAACAATATAAAAATTAATTTCTTTTATAAAAATAAAATCCATTCATAAAAATAAAATAATTTCTTTTATAATATCCGAACAGTGTGTAATTTTTAGAACTATACACCGTTCTAAATTTTTATATTGAACTTTCTTTTAAAATTTAAAAGATTAAAAAATTAATGTAAATAAATTTATTACGATTCCTTTTAATTAGATGATTGGTAATAAGAGCAACTGAAATAAATTATGAATTTTCACAACAGAGTTAATGAACATTTAAAAAAGATAAGTTTATTTGTTTATTAACTGGTTTTAGAATGACTGTTTAATTAAAATTAGAATTAGCTATTAATTATGCTGTTTTTGGATGCAAAATTATCGAATCAGGAAACTTCCAATCGCCTTACTTTAAATGGCAAGTATTAGTTAGTATTCGTCATATAAAATTTAAAATGTATGTATATCTAAAAGATAAGAATGATGTGAAATTAAATAGAGCAAATCATAAAATAAAATAAATAGAAAATAACCTAATTAATATTAAATTAAGTTATTTTTTGTTTTCTTCTCTTTAAGTATACCAAAATTGGTATGCCAGCTCAGTTTTAAGCATCACGTTTGCTTCAAGAGTCAAAAATCTGATTCCAAATAGCAGAGAAGATCTAAATGCATTAAGATCTCAGTCAATTTCAGAAAAATCTTAAGGGTTAGTTTAATAATCTAACATTACTGTCATGCTTTACGTTTTTCATTGTTCTTGCAGTAGAACTCCGATCATTTGTATTCCATTTATCCAGAATTCCATTTCTTTCTAACTATAGTGAAATTAAGCTTGTTCATAATTTATTTCCTTTTTTTAAACTTTTTTCTCAGATGTATGTACTGTTAAAAGGTAGTACAGTGAAGAACATATTTTTCGAAAAGCTATTAAATTAGTTTAGATAAATTCGCACTGTATATAGACTGGCCAAAAATTTTTGGTAAATAACAAGCCTAATAAGAATGGAAAATCAATTAGAAATAATGGAAAATCAATTACGTACTGTACGTAAAACCTACTGCTCACTGTTTACTCCGTGTGTATATCTCAGCCATAATTAAGGCTTCTTTTCTAAATGCAAACTAAACAAACGTGATGATGAATTGTCACTTCGCTTTTCCTATGAGGTTTCTTTTGTCCTGGTACTTTTCTATTACTCTTTTGGCGTTATTTGTACTGTTTTCTATGCGTGACATTTTTAAGGACAATTACTTCCCTTTAGAATGAAACATAACATTTCTTTTCATTTTGTTAATATCACACCAAAAAGGAAGCGCATAATTTTACAATGTACTGCTAAGTAAAGATTAAAAAAAGGATTAAACAAGAATTAAGCCTTCGGATGAGTATGGAGGTCACCTAAACAAGAACAGCTACCAAATTATTTGGATTTTTTGAATATCCAGATAGTCTTGTGATCCCAGTTAGTCAGTCTGTGTAATTAATGTTCTACTTTATTTAAAAATACTGCTTACTCTATAGTCTTTACATGGGGTGTTTCAAAAAGATAATTTTTTTGATGGAGTGCTTGCAAACACATAGCTCACGTTTGAGGAATTACTTTTGTCTCGTGATAGCATCCAGTAAAAATTCATGAAAATTCATATTTTTACTGACATCGTAGAAAACATAACAGTGAAAAAAGTGTTTTTCTGTAATCGAATCATAGGTTATAAATAATCCAAGTTATTAATAATTAAATCGTATCAAAATTTACTATGCTTTTCGGAACCGTTCGCAAATTTTGCTATAGAGATTTTCATACGTTAAGTTTTCAAAAGCATGTTTCTAAGAATAATTATTTTAAGGAGAAAGATGACTAAGTTCTAAGCGACTAGTTTCAAATTACTTATATCGAACTGCTAAAATGCGGAATATCGTATTTTATGAAAATTCATTCTATGCAAATCCCATATCGCTTCCTATATGTCAGGGTAAAAGTTACTTAACTCATGACATTTTGGCAGCTTTCAGGAACTATTTCCATATTTTGGCACAATTCCACTATAAAAACATTTAAGTAGTCTAAGGAACAATTTAATAATTAGATGCTTCGCCACAGAAGCCCGGTATGAAAATTTCAATTTCACGGATTTTCCAAAAGGTACGGCATGACCAAAATTTTCATAATGGGTGAGCCTGTTTTATTTGGTTCTCCATTTGGAACTATAAATCTATTACCAACTATTCAAGAGATGTTAGTCATGTTATATTGCTGAAATGCACTGTTTATTTCAGTATTTTATCACGTATAATATCCACGGCCTAGGAATGCGAAGCTTTTTATGATTTACTTTAAAACAAAAACTCTTGGGTGCCGGTATTTTAGGGCTAGCACTGATCCGTTGACTTGCATTTTCAGCGCTGGAGCCATTTCTTTTCCCCTTCGGCAACTGGCTCTCAGTGAAAAAGTAGAGAAGGTTGCTTATGATTTTCAGTGAGAGGTGAGTCCCCCTGTCTCTCTCTCTCTGTCTCTCTCTCTCTCCTTGTTCATCGTAAAAAGCGGATATAAATATGAAACAGAAAAACTTATTAAATATACGCTAATTCGTTTCCTAAAACTATGTTTTGAGCATCTTATTTTTATAATTTAGGTATTATGATTAGAAAAATGTTTATATAAATTTTAAAAAAACGTAGCTGTATCAGCTTTCATGTTGCCCAAATTTAAAAATTCATAGATATAATACTGATATTTTGAACTTTCATAATGTTTTTCTAATACATTTGATAGTGAGCATTTGATAATTTTATTTTATATATATGAAGTAGCAGAAAATTGTAACCAGAATTCTTATTTTCTTTTATAGATCATGATAAACAGGACATTGAATGCTGCAAATTCCCACCAGAGCACCAACATCCCAACTGCATGAATATCCAGGTACCACACGATGATCCTTTTTATAAATATTTCAAGCGCCAGTGCTTAGATTTCGCCCGGATATATCCTGGACCCAAACCAGGATGCAAATTAGGTAACTGTTAATTAGGCTTTTTAAGTCAGAGTTCTTCAAATGTTCAAGTTGTTAAGGAAATAACTATTTTTAAAGCGTTACTGATGAATTCAACGATTTTAGCATTTCAATACTGAATCATTTTTAAATCTATAATATAATTTAATCAATGATTTTACGCTTGCATTTGAATTATTTTTTAATCAATGTTGAATTATGAAACAAAATACCATTTTTGTATTAAATTTTAATTTGTTTAATCTCGTTATGTTTCATATAGAAATTCGATGTTACTCGCCTATATAATAAAATGAAACTTCATAAAAACAGGTTCCAATTCTAATATTTATGTTTATATCCGTCTGAAGGATACGAAAACCCTCATTTTGTTTGAGTGACAAAGTATAAGAGTGGACCTGAAGTATAGCATTAAAAGCTTCAAGATTAAAGAAATTAATACATTTCGCTTTTCTCTAAAAGGGAAAAATGTTTTGATAGCTTAACGCTTTAGCTAAAAATCAAAATTCCATGTTTTATTTTTTTAAATCTAATTTTTCTCCCACATTGCATTTCCGTTTACTTTTCTTTCTTTGCCTGCAAATTGTAGCTGCAACCATATATTGGATATTCTGTGAAATATGGAAAGCATTATTTTCGGTATTTACACTTACTTTAAAGTTCCAGAATTAAAAAAGAACATTTCAGAGGTCTGCATAAGCAGCCTAACCAAACAATTAATAAAATATGAATATGATGGATTTTTATATCATGTTAGTGAACCATCTATCTGGAAATTAATAAATACATTATAACGTCTCGTATGCTTTGGTATCATAAACTAAGCTAAACGTTAGAAGATTGTTTAGAAAATTATCCTCAAAGTACAGAAAAGTCAGGAGAAGTGTGTAAAGACCCTTTATTAACTCAAATTAAAGTTCACAAATGGCACCATCTCGTGCTTAAGAAAAGCCAATACTTCCGGCTTACCTCAAAAAGGTAACGACTAACTTGAAATTAAATGGAGTTAAATTTAGCCTTACACTTAAGCTTAACAGGTTAATTTACACGCAGGCTGGCTCTGACTCGTAAAGGTCGGCGTAAACAAGCATAATGGTAAGAAGTGTTCAACGCCACAGACATCTAATCGCCAGAAAAGCAAGCTAGGAAAGTGGCTTTCAGGCACGCAGAATACGCTCTTAATTGATTTTCGAAAACCTTCCCTTAAATAAAAATTTCTTTCTACCTCATTTGAATACCTGTGCACTAGATCATTTATATTCTCACAAGAAAGCATGAGTTGAAAGCAAGAGTAATAGGAAAGGCTGCTTCAAAATAAAATAACTGTTAAGTAAAATAATATATCCCCACAACATTTGGATGTAGAAAAACAAAATTCCTCTGTATAATATTATATTCGTTTGGTTGTGCAAAACGTTTTATTTGTATATCTCTCTGCATCAAACAATTGACAAAAAACATGTAATAATATTTAAATAATCTTTTGATATAGGGATCTGATTTCTTTACCTTAAAGAGCTCAAATTTACATCATTTTTAAATCATTGCCAGTTTCTGTAGCGTTATTATTATGACAATAGAACAGAAGTACCTAAAACAGAAGTAATTGCATGTTACCTAAAACTCTTTCAGCTTCTCGTCGTTAAAATTAAAAATTTCTAACCATCACATATTCTTCAGAATCATTAAGAAGTATATATACTTTTAAATAGCAAATTTAAAAGTATCTATACTTCTTAATGATTGCTACTTTTAAGTATTGCTACTTTTAAGAAGGTAACGTAGGATATTTTCAGTCATAATGAAGAATAATTTCGTTTCTGAAGAGAAAAGTTGGCAGATATTTTTGGAACTTATTAAATTTTATATTTTAATTTGATTACCAAATTATAGTGTTTTTAACCCAAAAGAAGGATCCACTTTCAGCTACGCCAGTAAAACCACTAAACGCTGATATTTCAATGTGGGTGCAAATTTTGATGAACAGCCTGGCAGGATGGGAATTTTTGTGGTTTACACCTTGTGCAATACGAATATCAGCCATTTCTCTTAGAAAATCCTTCTCGAAGGTATTCGTTCTTTTAAGCAGGTAATCATTTACGCTTTCCTATAATACCAGTACTAAGCAAAAATGTATTTGGAAAGCTATTAATTCTCAAGTTAAAGTACAAATCCCTTTTGTAGAATCTCTTACTCTAAATCTTAGTTTAAAGTATTTTAGTTTCTTTTTTAAAAAATTCTAATAGGGGAATCATAGAAATTTCTAGATCTAAATCGGCAAATGTTGTAGATATCTGGGTTTCGGCTTGTCATGGTTTCAATTTCCAGACGCAGCCGTAAAGCTTATGAGCCTGAGCATGCTAGCAGGAACTTCTAGCATAGTCAGGCTGCTTTTGCTCACTGAGTTTATCAGGTTTCTAATAACACTTATTTCAAAGCGAAACTCGGATTTGATTTAGACGACATGAACTATTTGACATTTCTTAAAATAAATAACCTGGCTGAACGTATCCTTCAAAATTTTAGTGAATTCAGAAAATGCTGTGCAGAAATTATTCATGTGTTTGTTAATGGTTCCGGCTTTTATTATATGGAAGTTTTGGACAATCAGTGATCGAAAGGATTAAGCGTCAAGATAACAGCAATTCACCCTGCTTCTATTCTCTGCGGTTGAACTAAAGATGGTAATAGGTTTTCGGGATTTTCTCCATGAGTAAAGTAACTTCTCCATAGAAAGTCCCCTTAGAATTCTCATCCCACTTCTCATGCAAATCTCCCTAAAATGCCATGCCATACCTAAATAATCAAAATTCATTTGATCATTCAATTAAAAAAATATTCTGAGACTACCCAGACATTAAAAAAGTTATTGATATAAAAGACCTAATAATTGATTTCGTAGCTCTACGATTAAATTAATGATGTTTTATTTCATTCGAATAACTTAAGGAAACACATTCATTTAAAAATGAAGTTCGTAAATGTCTATTTTTAGTTAAAAGAAATTACTAGTACAGGGGTTCTCACTCCATGGGGAATTTCCCCATAGGAGTGGATTTCATAGTTTCGCCTTTTATTTACTTGTTAAGGATTTAGTTTCAGTTTATGATATAAAAAATATTTTTATTCAAGTTTTGGTATTTATCACCATTTTATACTTTTCTTGTTTAATTTATAAAACACGTTAAAAATAATCTAAAATTTAATAAATGTGTACATATATTTCGAATTTTCGAAAGGTGGGGTGTAATGATCGTTTAGCAATTGTAAAAGGGGTCCATGAGGCAAAGACTGAGAACCACTGTACTAAACATCTGCTGAAAATCTCAACGAAAGAAGATCGCCTAAAAATTATGTTTTACGACCATGAAATTATTTTAATAGTCAAAATTAGTCATACGATTTTGAAATGATAAAAGGAAAGATGATAAATTTTCCTGTTATATTTTCATTAAAATAAGATCTTTATTTCTGGAGTTAATTTTTAATGCATTATTAAACCATCATGTATATCTCTCCATTATTTGCAAGAACTCAATTCAAGATCTTATGAAATGTGATTAATAAGAGAACATTCGAAACACAAAGTAGAAAATCGGATAAAGCAGCTACTTTTTCTGATGGATAATGTTTATTACAGGAAAGTTAATCAATAAAGATTTTAAAACTGAAGAAAAGCTGAATTTTTTGGGTATGTAACGCACAAAAGCATCAAGGAAACGGAAACATTTATTGTATTCAACACCAAATATCAACTGATATTTTATAGAATTTATAAGCGTCATCAGAACCAGTTTTCGGTTTCAGCTCTTTCAAACAATATATAATACAGAAAATGCACCGAAACTAAAAGGAAATAGAATGGAACAAATTGCATTCTAAATTATGGGAAAGAAGTCACTGGAATGCGACGATATGGATTTCCTATAATCAATCCAAGAATATTTTATTGTTTTTACAGGCAATTCTAGTTCTGATTTTATACCTACGTTTAATTTCCTACTATTAAAGCCATACTATTCAATTTTTCGAAACAATCTTCTTTAGTGTCTACTGCCATCTTTTCATTTAACGTGATTTGAGTTCATTTAACATGTGATTTTAGCAGCTAGTTAAATTTTAAAAGAGAGTCTATTATAATCGAAGCTGGATTAAGCTTTTATGTGTACTTAATACACCTGCATTAAATAACTTTACATATGTGTTTGTATCTGTGTGATTTCTCGGGGATATCCGGAATGTGGTCGAAAATATGCCACTGAATAAAAATCAAATTGAAAAGCGGTTAGACATGAGTTAGTTCATTCTCCCTATATCCACACCCTCTATTATGTCAACCCAATTTACAGATGTTGTCTGGTAAGGAAAGCAAAACACTCGTTCGTACTTTGATCGAAAAGGAAAGCAGAATGGAAGTTATGGGAATTATGCTAGACGTTTAATAAGACTTCCTTATTTTCAGTAATGTATTCACTCAGTCATTTTTGGATTTTCAAATATATATCGAAGTTTCCTCATAACTGTAAAATTTAAATGTTTTTTTATCTTTTTTAATACGATCCTATTTTAACTGTAAAGATGAACGAGCGGAATATGTCAAACTTTTGTTCGTTTTTCTGACATATTTCTAATCTTGCCTTGAATTATAATTTTTAGTGTTGTGCTTTTTTTATAGTATTTCGAATTCAATGGCGTAAGTAATAACTTATCAAATTCTTCAGTGAGAAGAGCCTTTCATTCTCTATTAGTCAAAGCAGTTAGACTCTGTTTTATTGGTAGTACGTAGTTATTTAAACTGATCATACTTTTAAGCAGAAGTTAGCTTTTGTCGCAATGCAATTAGTTACCTAACAATACTAAGTAGGTATTTTTCCTGTTAAATGCATTAAAAACCTACTGCTGTAGCGATGAAATTGTTTAGTACTGCCTTTCAACTGGCTTATTTATTAGCAGTCTTATAAGACTTCCTATGACGGAAGCAGAATCGTCTTTGTAGACAGTCT